AAAGTAGACACCTATACTTTGAAAGAGATTCTATTATATTATGTCTAAACTATTATATGATGAGAAACAATAACATATGGCGTATTGTTCAAATGATCTTCTAGGGGATCTGTTTGTGGAGCCAAGCTTCTCTGTAAAAGACCACAGGAAAATTTATACAATAATCTACCGAAGGTAGATACTAGTCAATCAGTAGGAACCATTGGATTCCAGCACATCTTTGAGTGAAAATAGCTGTCAGCATGAAGACAGGAGTGATCAAAAGGACCCTGTGCAAGGGCACAGGAATAGAAACCATCATCTTCAAATTTCTAGATCATCTACCTCATCTAGAAGGAGAGAAAGACATGAGACAGAGCTAAATTGAAGTGAACTATGCACTGAAGCACAAAGAAAATGGCACAAATCCTACAATGATTCCCTTTCCTTGGATGAAAGCATCACACTGTGTGTCATAAGGGAGATTTGTTGTAAAAGAAGCAACAGGAATGAATCCACAGAAACACTATCAAATCTGGATCTCGATGCTGGTGAAGGTGGACATTTGAATTGAGTAGAGACAGGAGTCAGTTTCAGATCAATTCACTGAAGAATTTGAAGTTGCATCTATTGATTCAGAAGATTCTGACCTTAGTGAAGAAGGGCAAGAACTCACAGAAGAAGATGATGAGACATATCGACTTACTGTCTATCAGGTAAAAGAGAGTGAGTGATACAGATTCATTTGAAGATGATCCTGAAGTTTCATTAGCTGGCTATCGGAAATGTATTTCATGCATACTTCCACCATACTGCAATAGATTTTGGGCGCTTCATGACAGTTGGCTTCCTGAAAATAAGAGGACTATTGCCAGGCATTAATTTCAAATAGCATTTTGGGCAGCCAAAATGTCAAAGAGCTTAATAAGGACGAGCCCCAAAGCAAAGAAGAAAGTGTGAAATTGACATCTTACCCTGTTGCCACTGAACTTGTGTGATTTGCCACAACTGACAAAAAAAATGGTTGCATTGCCCATGGCAAAACAGGATATCTATGGCATGTTTTACATGTGCAAAGAAACAATCCCCCCGCCCCAAAAAATAAGAAAAGAAATTAGGCCTGTCCAGTATGTACACAACCAACTCAAATGAGCATATTATCTTATTTTCTCTACTTGTCTGTAAAAGTAGATTATTTTAGAGAAAAAAACATTCAGCCATGTGTAAACAGGAATTGCTACTGAGTGTTGAGCCGATTCTGAAGCACTCTGGCCAATTTGTTTTTATTTTTTATAAAGCAGTTTGCAAAAAACTCTATTTGCAGCTTGTGAGTTTCACACTCCTTGATATTAGAGTTTTTTTAATATACACGTTAAAAACAAAAATGACATACAAGAGCCTACCTAACCTAACCCTCTCATTTCCATAAGATCAAAGGTGAAGAAAAGGGTCATGGGGTTGTTTATAATTCAGATTGAGATATAAATCTGGTCATCTATTTATACTGACTAAAGTTATTCCACCAGCTGTTTGTTTATCCAGTCTGTGAAGGCTTGATTTCAGAATACCAGTATGTAATTATAGCTTTTGTGTAAATAACTCTACAACGTGACCAAAATCCATTAATTAAAAGTAAACAAATAAATTAGTCTACAAAAATGTTTGGCATGTCTACATTTTGCCACACTTTTTAGATTCATCCCAAATAACTCAGACACCGCTGCTATACACGGGTGCTAAAAGGACCTGGTCATAACCTCTCCATAACTTCCTCCTATATGGAGAGGAACTTGCCAAAACATCCTCGACTCCATTTTTATAATATGTAAATACCATTGAGCAGCTCACTGGATTGTGGTGTGCTGGAGTGAGGAAGCAGCATGGATCTGGGTCTAATAACAGTCTCATCTTTTTTTTTCCCCCTTAGCCCTTTAATTTCATCAGTTTGGAATCTGATGCCTTCTTAAGGGAATAAGTCACAGAGATTTGCTAAGAGAGTCAGTAAATTGAATCTGCTAGGGTTTTTTAAAAATCTCTAATATCTGGAAGGCCCTCTAAAGCAAATTTTTCAAGTCTCTTGTTTTAAAGCTAAAACACAGTAATGTGGAAATAATTTAACAGCAATTCACACATTCACTGAGCTTACTGTCTAGTTAAAGAGAACAAAAATATTGAAAGAATCCTTAAGTATGGTAGATATAACAAGGCAATGGTAATTATTTCTATAAAATATTATGTATATGAATGATTGTATAAAACACAAAGTACATGTATAAAGAACAAAGTTCATGTATAAAACAAAATGTATATACACAAACCAATAAAAAAATTTAAAAAATAAAGACGTTACTGGAAGCCTTGAGTACCTGTAGAAATGACTGGATATAAGTAAGGAATCAAGAAGAGCTTCCTTCTGAAAGTTTGATTTCAAGGACAAACTTGTTGTCAAGTATGATTTGTAAAGACCCCATGAACAACAGATCTGAACCCTGTCCTGTTCTCACAATCAAGCCCATTTCAGCAGTCACTGTGCCAATGTATCTGGTTGAGAGGCTTCCTCTTCTCCATTATTCCTCCACTTTTCCAAGCATGATGTTCCTCTCTAACGAATAACCTCTCCTAGAAAAATACCTGTAGTTTGTAAAATGAAACTTCATCTTCTTTGCTTCCAAGTAGCACTCTGGCTACACCTTCTGCAAGACATTATCTGTTTGTTCTTTTAGAAGTCCATGGAATATTCAGCACTCTTCTCCAACAGCACAGTTCAAAGATAACATAAGTCAGTTAGGAAGGCAAAGGTGACAGTGGTTGAGTGGTCAAAGTAGAACATTACAGGCACTGCATAGAGCATATGCAAAGACTCTGAGGCAAAAGCCACAGAATAATACCTACTGCTCCTCTGTCTTTGGTCTAGGAATCTTTGTATTTTTCTAAGATTGATACTCTAAGCATATAGTTCCTAGCCTGATGTCCTCTAATGCCCTGGGTAATGCCTTCTCTTTTCTGGGAACCGGATATAAGAAATTTTATTAAGCTCAAATCAAACTAAAGTAGTTTTTAAACTGCGGTCTGAGCTGTCACTTAACTCTTGTTACAATATAGCTCTAGATTCATGATAACAAAACTAAGTGAAACAAGAAGAAATTTTTTGAGAGTGGTGAATATTTCCTACTCAGATTTCAAGTACCCCCCCACAAATTGATCCAGTGTTTCGTGATGGCTTAGGGTTAGAATAGAAGGATTTCTCACAGGACTCCTATTTGGAATCAGGCAGAGATTGTATCTTCTCAGTGACACAGACAGGGCATTCTAATGACCTGCCTATGAGCTAGCCTGGGGTGACAAGTGCTTCTGAGAATACAGAGGCTGGCCAGGCCTTGGGAGGAGACTGGCACAGTTGACCACCTGATTAGATTTACCTGAGACATCTGTGTCACTTAGACTTAGTTCTTTCCACCTGGACCTCAGAATTCATTCGTCCCAGGGGCAATAACTTTTCAAAATACCACCAGTGGGACACTCACTTGGGCCATTCAACTTTCTTAGCCATAGACTGAGATGGGAGGAGATTAACTTGGAGGTAAAGTCTGGAGTCAGAGCCATCTCAGAGGGTGTCAGAGTCATTCTGGAGTAAATGTGAGTGTGTAAGTCAGCTTGCTTGCTTTTTATTTACAACTCACACAATTACCAGTTTCTGTCTTTATCTCTCCTTTTTTTTCTTGTTAAGGAATCAAGCCCTGTTAGAACTAGAAGGAGATTTTAAAACAATCTAATGTGATCTTTTAATTTTACAGTAGGGTCAGGAGAAAGTATGTGGCTTGTTTAATGACTCATTACATGCCAGAAAAAAGAGTATGTGGCTTGTTAAATATTATATGACAATGACAGACCTGGATGTCTAAACCATCACATAGCTGTTTATTATACAAAATGCCTCCTTAAATGGGTATAAAACCATCACATTTCTATGAGTTGGATGCAGACCATACCAGAAAAGAAAGTACTCACTTCTAACCTCATCTAAAAGTTTCCCTCAACTCATTTAAGCACAGAAAAAGGAAAAGAAAGTAGGTTTACTACTATGACTATAAGAAAGAAACAACTATATTTTGAAAATTGGGTAGTGATACCTATTAATTTCCGGATATCTTATTCATATATCTTCATGTGATCTGACCCCCCTCCCTATCCCTTTATCTCCATCTGTTTAAGAAGGACTTACATCCATCTAAATGAGATTACATTTTGTAGCCTAAGTTGGTATTTCAACCAAAGAAGTCAAAACATATACAAGCAAAGATCTGACTTTACAATTATCACACCTGTTTTAAACTACAAAATGAGAAGTGATAATTTGGGGGTTTTGCTAATATTCTGAGTAAGCTGGAATGGAGGGGAAATGTCAATACAGGAGGTAGACAGAGCAGGAATGAGACCTTACGTGTAGGACAATTTCTCAAAGTGTGGTTGCTTGTCTCCGATCACCTGATGTGCTTATGTGAGATGTAGAAGCTCTATCCCACTTCACACCTCCTGAATTAGAATCATCAGGAGGTTGAACTTGCACATTGGACTGCATAGTAAGTTTTCCAGGTGACTTTCAAAACCACTGTTACTTAGTTGATCCAATGAGTTTCTGAGTCTATAAAGCTTTAGGGAGCAGGGAGAGGCAATGTCCATATTTCTCCAACGAGTAGCTGAATTCTAACTACCGCTTGTTTGGGCAAGCAGCCCCAAGCCCATGTACTACATCCTCAGAGATCCTTAGGAAATGTTAAGTATTCTTAGGAATACCTATATTTGAAAGCCATATATAAAGGGAAGAATCAAGGAAGATGAGTGACATGAAGTTACAGTAACTATCAAGTCCTTTCACTGCTCAGTTCCTCAGCTGGGTACATTGGCTTTGCCTCTGCTCTCCTCCAAGTCTGAATTTCTACAGCTCTACCTTTTTTCTCTGAACTTGAAGCCCCTGTTAAGGGGAACAAGGACTGGCTCCACCAGCCAGTTTGAATACTCACTCTGAGCCCCATGAGGTAATAGAGGACGCTGATGACAGTCATGGGGAGGACGTAGAAGAGGAAGGAGGTGACCTGGATGATGAAGTTGTAGATCCACATGGGCTTGATGACGGTACAGGTGGCAGAGCCTGGAATTAAGGACCCATTGGGGAAGTACTGGAGTTTGATGCCATGGATGCTGGTGTTGGGCAGAGAGAAGAGGACTGAGAAGCCCCAGACCACACCGAGGATCCTGAGCGCCCGCCGCCGCGTGCTCTCCAGCTTAGCACGGAATGGGTAGAGGATGGCCACATAGCGCTCCACGCTGACGGTGGTGACACTGAGGATAGAGGCAAAGCACACGGTCTCAAAGAGTGCCGTCTTGAAGTAGCAGCCTATTGGCCCAAATAAGAAAGGATAGTTGTGCCACATCTCATAAACTTCTAGAGGCATCCCAAGGAGCAGGACTAGGAGGTCAGAGACAGCCAAGCTGAAGAGGTAGTAGTTGGTGGGCGTCTTCATAGTCTCGTGCTGTACAATCACCAGACAAACCAGGATATTGCCTACAACCCCCACAACAAAAATCAGCGTATACACTACAGTCATGGGGAGGAAGAGGTGGCTGCGCCGAGGCCCACAGAGGTAGGCCAGGTAATCCTCCGTGCTGTTCAGGTATGCCTTCAGTGAATCTTCCTGATCCAGCAGGTGCATCCAGGAATTATTCTCTCCTTTTTCCATCCCTGAAACTCAAATCTGGAGACTTGCACTCTCTTAAGATGAGGATCTGTCCCAGCTCTAGTCAGCAAGAAAAGAGAAAACAGTTCAAAAAGCACACAGGCAGTGCAGGGAGAGTGAGCCTTCAGCCCCAAAGTGTTGGCTGGTGAGATGCTGATTCCTTTTGAAGAGCCCTCTAGACAGAAGCCCCTCCTTTTCACAGGCTGTAGGCCAATGAGTGTGTGTCAGCCTGCACAGCACAGAAAGGACACATTGGTGCTGTGGGTGTGCTGGCTTTGTGAGCAAGGAGGAGGAGGAGGCATTTCTCTGAATTGGAAGGAGATGGAAAGGCAGATCTGACACAGACCAGTGTGTCACTCTCTAACTTAAAATGTGGTATTTCTGAGCTGTGCATTTTGTAAACGTGTGGGAATCTACAGGGAGATGCAAATTCAAGTTGCAGAGTCTTGGCAAGAAGAGTGCAAATCTCCATTGATCCTAGTCACTTGCACAGCACGACAGAAATAAGACATCAATAGGTTTCTCGAGTTATCTTGTTCTGTTGGAAATTCAGATCTCTCTAGAGAGAGTGCGGTCAATATGACTTTTTGGTTTTTATTTCATCAACAACAGACTCAAGTCTGAAAAAATATTAACACATCCTCTAGCCCTGTCTGTGAGCTGGAGCAAATGAAAAGTATGGTTCAGAATCATGCACGCTGAGATATCCTTTAAGACTTTGATAGTTTCTTAATTTTTTGAAGCCTCATTTCTTTGTCTGTAAATTAGAGGTTCCTTAAGTCTTTCTTATTTAACACTATTTTTGGAAGATTCACGGTGTGTTACGTACTGTTACAGAATTTGAAGCAGCATCAGTTCCCAAACAAGAAAAGATTCCTGCTCTGTGGGGCTTTTCTTGTAGTAGGGAACTCTAAAACTAAAGAAGGAAATCAGTAAATTAGTAAAATAAATTTCAGGTAATAATTGGTGTTATGAAAAGCCAGTGCTAATGAAAAGATAAACAAAAAAAAATACTGAGGGGCTTCACAGACTAAGATTGGAGGTGTTTTCTTATCAACGATGGTCCAAGAGGGTTTGTTAATTAAATGATGTCCCCTTAAAGCAGTTGATACAAATCCTAACCTTTATACTTGTAGGATGAAGCACGGTGGCACGTTGATTAAGCAGCCAGCTGCTAAGTGAGAGGTTGGTAGTTGGAACCTACCGGCTGTTTTGTGGGAGAAGAATGTGGCAGTCTGCTCCTTTAATGATTACAGCACTAGAAACCATATGAATGAGTTCACCTCTGTCATATATGGTTGCTATGGGCTGGAGACAACTTCTTCAATGTTTTGTTTTTGTTTATTTACTAGTTGTTGATGCAATTTCCTTTGGAAATGGAGATTTCTTTGTTATGCTAATGATATCATATTAGTTTGGATTGTATATTAAACCAATCACTATGAGATATAAAAATAGGACTTTAAGTAAAGAAACAAAGAAGTAGGAATGGAAAATGATTGTTGACATATAGAGATCACCAGGAGTTGAGGTAGTTAAACTCAGGAGCACAAGGACTTACATTAATAATGGAGAGAGTTGTATTCCTAAAGCAGGTGTCATGAATTTTGATGTCTTATCTCAGGAATCATAAGAAAATAAGTTTCTGTTCACTATGGTATTTTTATTCTTATTCTTGAAAAAAAGGTGATCCAACAGAATGTGGAAGTTATTAAACAATATCACTAATATCACATGTAAGGAAAATCTTGAAGCAGATTATTTTAAAATTACTGGAACAGAACATTGACAGAAAACAAGCAAATTACAAGTAGGATTTAGACAAGGCTTTGGCATTAGGAAAATCAGATAGATGTTGACTGAAAACAGAGTTCTAGAACAATGTCTATTTGTGTTTTGTTGACTATGCTAAGACATTTGACTGTGTGGATCACAAAAGATTGTGACTAAATTGAGAAAAATGGAAATCCTAGAACACTTGATTGTGTTCATGTACCTATACCTAGACCAGAAAGCTGTTGTTCTGAACAGAGCAAAGGAGCACTGCATTGTTCAAAATCAAGAAAGAGTTCATTAGGGATGTATATACTTCCTCCATACCTTTTCAATCTATATACTGAACAAATCATTGGGGAGGCTGAACTTTATGAAGAAGAATGTGACATCAGGATTGAAGAAAGACTCATCAACAACCTGTGTTATGCAGATGGCACAACCTTGCTCTCCAAACCTGAAGAGTGTGTGAAGTGTTTGCTGCAGAAAGTCAAGGGTTACAGCCTTCAATATGTACTGTGTCTCAACATCTAAAAAACAAAGATCCTCCTCACTGGGCCACTAGGTAGTATAATAACAGATCAAGAAAATATTGAGGTGGTTCATGGTTTCATCTTGCTCAAATTCACAACCAATACACTTTGCATCAACAGTCAGGAAATCAAAAGACAAGTTCTATTGTAAAATCTTCTGTAAAAGATCTCTTCAGAGGGCTAAAGAGTAATAACATCAGTCTGAAGACTAAGGTGTGCCTCATCCAGGTCATGGTCTTCTCAATCACTTGCTATGCATCTCATCTGAGAACTGAACAATGAATAAGGATGACAGAAAAAGAATCGATACATTTGTGTCATGTTGGTGGAGAAAGGAAGGATTCCATGGACTGCTAAGAGAACAAATAGGCCTAACCTGAAGAAGTTGAAACCGTGTTGCTCCTTTGAGGCAAGAATTTTGAAGCTCTGTCTTACATTCTATAAACATATTGCCAGGAGGGACCAATCTGTGGATAAGGACATCATGCTTAGAAGGGTAGAGGGTCAGCACAGGAAAGAAGGCCATGGATGAGTTGGATTGGCACAGTGGCTGGGGCAATGGTATCAAATGTGTCACAGATGGTAAGATTGGCTCAGGATGTCACAAGGCTCAGAGCCATTGTTCATAAGATTGCTCTGAGTTGTAGTTGACTTGATGGCAAATAACAACAGCAACAAAATGGTATTTTTTTGTTATAGCAGCATTAAGAAACTAAGATGGTTTTTGAGTCAGTTGCTTAGTGAGAACCCTCATACATAGCAACTTGGAAAATTTCATTATAAAAAAAGAGCCTACAAATAAATTCACAAAAAAGAGACAATTAATGTTGAGCAGCCAAAAAGTCATGGTTTATTATATCTGAAGAAGTTTCATAATTCAAACACAACCAAACTGTACAGTTTACAATCACATTCTATTTGTAAACAGTTAAAAGCCAC